CCCCCCCTCTCCCCCTGCTTTTCTCTTCTTTTCGCCTCTCAGTCTGAATAACTGTAATGCAACCCTATCTATAGTATGTAAATACTTACATGCCCCAGTGACCTATCAACTGCGGCTCCGCGGGGGGTCGTCTGCTTGTCATTCGATACGGATGAAGGGTCTGCGTTATGAGTTCTAGGGGGGCGGCACGGGCGGGGGCAGGTTTGTCCCTGCGTCGCCGGGGCGGTCCCCTTGGATACTTTAGGCCCGTTATAGCAAAGCGCGACCCTTCCGGAGATCTACGATCTCACCCACATACAGGTTGAGTGGTTGTCCGAGAGGGCTTTATCTAGGATTCATATGCCTTAGGGTTGAAAGTGTGTACTGTCTACCGTACTATCTTGTAATGTCATTGTTTGGTGGCTGCGTCCACTGCTTTTACGATGGGAGTTGTTTCCCTTGCTTGCTATATATGTTTTTTACTGTCTGAAAACTCGTTAAATAAAGAATTTATTAAAAAAAAAGAAAAATAAACCAATTACAGGTACCTTTGTGGCCGGTGTGAGAGGGACAAGAGAGAGGAGGATTATTGTGTAGGACAACTTTCACTATCACTAATGGAATCACTGCTATCTCTTGACTCAATGGAATCCTTTTCATTTCGTGAAACCTTAACAAGGAATCTATCCAATGTGACATTGCATTGTCGTTAAACGGACTCATCGCTCGCACTGCTACAGCCTTATTCGGGTGGTGCTTTTCTACAGAATTTTGCTCTTATTGCAAGACATTGCTTGTATATCAAGGCAACATTTTTCAGAAATGTTTGCTTGTCTTGCAAAACGCTCTCAAACCAAGTTACTTGTAAACCAAGGTATTACTGTACATACTTTTGGTGTGATTTAGCTGTGGTAGGTAGTCTATTTAAATGAATAAGCTGCCTACTGCAGTACACCACAAAATACCAATGTCACATGACAGAGGTGTGAACGAGCATTTAATCTGCTTACTTGGCTCTGCTGGCTATACTGTGTTTTCTGTTTCAACCACATGCTGCTTTTTTCCGAATCCACTAAAGCACTCAAAAAATTATTACTCTTTCCTTTATTATATATAAATACTATACATCAGTATCAACAAAAACACACACATCATCTGAAATATGTAGTCATCTTATTTTATATTTATATATTTTCACAGGGAGACTCTGGTGGACCTCTGATCTGCAACGGAGTGCTGAGGGGTATCGTATCTTTTGGCGAATTAGATTGTGGTGCTCCTGGAAATGTGGCGGTCTATACTAACTTAAATAACAAGATCATTTGCTGGATATATAAACAACTGAGTGGCTTGCCTTAAAGAAAAAAAATGCCATTTTGTTAAAAATTTGCTACAGCATATATATTTGATACACAAGCTTGCCTTTCATTTCAATCTGCAGCCACCTCGGTTTAAAAAAAAAATAAAAAAAAACAGAATTTATAAAATGATCATTCCCTGTTTATATGCTTAGTGTAGTGCTTTTCAAAGAAGTTTGCACAATGACTCATGCTAAATTCCTTCTCATGTATATACGTGACCACACGTCCCTTCTGTACATGTCTATGAAATGCATTAGAAAATCGGAAGGAGGAGTACATTTATTTGCCATAGTTACTGTATCTCCTTAAAAACATAACAAAATCATCATCATTACTTGTCAATGCACAACACAGTGTTCACATGCAAATAATAAAGATAAAGACCTGCAGGAGTTACATTTCTTTGGGTTGTATGACATATAGAAGAGCAGGGGCGTAGATGCCCGGGGCGCCCCCCCCCCCCCCCCCCCCCGAGTGTCCTGGCAGTGGCTAGCGAGGGGGGCACGTACTCCCGGGCACGGAGTTTAACAGCGTTCTGAAGGCTCCAGAGAAGGGCCCATCTAAAAGGGATTCCGGGGATGTCCTGTTTGATAAAACATCAGTGACGGCTAGAGCAGATGCCCGATGTTTTATCAAACAGGACATCCCCGCTTCCCTTCAGATGTACATGTTTCTGCCTGGCCCTGAATGATCTGTACATGTCTCAGTGCGGGCCCTGCAGGAGACAAGGTGTCCTTCCAGTGATCAGGATCAGAAGGCTGAACGGAGACAGAGCGGGCAATCAAGTAGGGAGGCTGGGGGATGACAACGACAATAAAGTTAAAGTGACATTAAAGTTAAAAAAAATGTTTCCGGGGGCGTGGCTTGGCAATGGCAGGGAGCGGACGTGTCTTCTAGAGCTCCGGCGGCATTGCAGG